GGGCACAGGAGGTGAGATGTGGGGTTAATTGGCATTTCTTCCCCCTCCCCCAACTCCCATGCCAGCAGGGTCCATTGGGAGCTGAGTCCCCCACCCCACCAAGTGATAAGACTGTGCATGTGGGCCCTCCACTCCCCCTACCCTGGAGCCAGGGGGCCCAGTTGGGAGCTGAGTCTCCCCTCCAACCTGGCTGCAAGGGGGGTGTTGCTCCAGGAAGGTATAAGTGGGGCCAAGGAGGAGCTGAACTTCCACCCAAACTGACTGTAACAAGGTGTCTAGTGTCAGCCCTCCAGGTGGTGTCTGCGAGGCCCAGTAGGCAACTGATACCCACTCCCACACAGAACTGCGGCTGGACATCAACAGGAAAACTGCCTGCTAAGAAGATTAAACAGGATCCAGAGGCTCTCAACATAAACCCAAGATGTCCAGAATACAATGAAAATCACCTGTCGTACCAAGAACAAAGACAATCACAACTTGAATGAGAAAAGAGAGTCAACAGACGCCAGCACTGAGACGACTCAGGTCAGAACTGTCACACAAGGATTTTAGAGCAGTCATCAAAAAAATGCTTCTATGAGAATTACAAACACTCTTGAAACAAATGAGAGTGGAAAAGCTACATCTCTAAGTGTCTCACAAGCAAGATGGTAATATTATTTTTCTTCCTTCAATCTTAGACTAGTGATTTTTAGATTCTTTGCATCAGGCAATAATGTGCTAAGACACCATTGTATTTGGACCCAACAGAGTGAACCATTTGATCAGATATTTATTGAGATTCTGTCATGTGCAAGGTATCATGCTGGCTGATCAGGAATACTGAGATATGCCTCATGATCCTTGCTTTCCAGTACTTTCCAGTGAGGGAGAGAGGCATATGCAACATCACCATATCATGGCATGCTAGATCAAGTGCCCAAAATGAGGCAGAAATAAAACAATATGGGCACTCCACAGAAGAATACAAAAGGCTGCCAAAAGAGGGAAGTGCCTTGTTACAGAAACTCACAGACAAGAGGATGCCAAGAAAGGAAGGAAGACATAACACCAAAGCATATGAGTTTCTTGAAGATGTGTTCATGGCTAGCTGACCTTAAGGATCGAAGTGGCTGTGTGGCCCAACTGTGATTTTCTGTCCTGAGAAAGAGGAAGGAGGAAGTCATTCCATTTTTAGTTAGATTCTGAGAATACTTTGGTTTAAACTTACTGTAAATGAGAAAGTACAAATGATTAATGCAACTGGCCAGAGAAATGGTTTCTACCCTTGACCAAGCTCTGTCTTGTTAAATAAGTAAAATAGCTGCAACCACAATAACTAGCCCTCCTCTGACTGCATCTCAAGGGTAAGTGGCCAGTGAGAGAGGCGCCCTCCTATTGTCCATAAGAGTCCAGTGAGAGCCACACCACTGGGGGCAAACCCACCTCTGCTGGCCATGGGAGGGACAACACCGCACCAGAGGGTGAGGCCATTGCGGGGAGGCTGCTGCAGCAGATACCCAGCGTGGGGTTGCAATACTCTGACCCAAGTCAACCCCTAAAAATTCTCTAAAGAGAAAAAAACAAGCAAACAAAAAACAGAGCCACAGGATGGCTAAGCCATGGTCCCAGAGAGGCCGCAGGCCTGAGGAAAACACTCAAAGACCTCTCCGAGATCATGAGTAGCAGAACAGAAATTGGACAATTAAGATCATTTATACCTTTCTCTCTCTCCCCACTAAGACTCCAAAACAATCAGGGCTCTTGAGATGCAGTGAATGTCAAGGAGAACGGTGGGAGGGCTGCCCTGATGCCCATCGCCCTCTCCTACTTTATCACCCATGGCCCCGTCACTCCAGGATCCGTGATTCCCACAGCGGGCTCGCCCATATCCAGGCACTGGATGCAAACTGAAGCCTACTGTGACAATAACCATTTCCCTAATTAGCCACTAACTGGTCCCTCTCAGACCCTCTTATTTTGTGAGGCAGCATCTTTCTGAAACACAAGGGGACTGGGCTCCAACTCTTACAGCAAACAGAACAGGAGATCTTAATGGAGTATCTTGTTACTACAAATACCTTCCGTGCGTGCAGGGGCTGTGGGCAGCCTATAGACCACAGTAGCCCCAGCACCTACGATGGGACCTGGTACCAAATGGGTGCTTGCCAGGAACTAATGGAATGAGTAGAAAAAAGGAAAGTGAGAACTAATCTACGAGCGGTTTCAAGCAAATACATTATACAAAGCATTCCAGCTAGCAGAGTCTAACTTTGGGTCAGATTTGTTCTCATTAATGCAGTGGCTCATGAAGGATGTCCAGGAGCCCACGTTGCACCCAACGAGGTTGGCACTGCCCTCGAGACAGCCAGGCCCCTGGCTCGGCCACTGGGCCCACACTCACATGCTGGATGAGAGGCATGCATGTGCGAGGTCCAGTCAAGAAAGGGTTTTGTGGTTAAAACGGTTGTGGAACTTCCCACCCCAAGGGGTTTTTTGGGGCCACCCCTTATTCCCTACCCCAACTATCCCCATGGGGACTCCAAGTCGTGAAGCCGGGGACAGCCAGATGGCCACACACCCAGCTCCCCACTCTCGGAGGGCAGATGAGGCACACCCACACTGTCTTCCACGGCAGCCAACCCCACTGCTTAAGCTGCCGTTGATAATTAGATTTCAAGCCCAAAACAGGAGGATTAACTGTGAAACAAGGTTTCATTTCAACATTGTGTCCATGCCAAGAGGTCCCTGATCAGCCTCTCGGAATTCAGAGGCTCAAGGCTTTGAAAGAGAGCTGCGTCTGAAAGATACGACCGGAGAGAAAAAAGACAAGAGGTGTAGGCTGGTCAGATGATCCAAGGATCGGGGGCAGGTGGTCAGGGAGGTTTCTTGCCTTTTTCAGATGCGTCTCTTCACCACTGTAAAGGCTTGCCAGAAACAAAAACAGTCCCAAACCTGAAGGAATCTCAGCACCACTCATTATAACTCCCATGTCACAAATGAAGGACAAAAGCAGCACAAAGGAGCAGAGGGACCGACCAAGGAGGACGACTGCCTCCACATGACAGCATCAGCCCACCCAATCGCCGGGCACCTGCCTTCCACGCCACGCCCGCCCGACATTTCAGGAACCTCACCGTCAAAGGCAAAGCACCTGGCCGCCAGCACCAGTGCCCTGGGTCTCAGACACTGAATCAGGAGGGAGGGCTATAATCAGCCATAGATCAATTATTTTCACTCTGATTCACTCTCCTAGAAGACTCTTATTTCTACAGCTTCTGTGAAAAGCCAGAGATAGAGCACTTCTGTTACCTTCATTCATCTCGCTGTGAGGAGGAGGTAAAGGCCTCTGTTTTACAAAAAGCAGTCTGTCCCGATGGCACAGCCTGTTCCTCCAGGAGGGTGTTGAAAGTCTGAGGCGGTTATGGTTCATCAGAAGTGAGCCTCACTTGGCGGGACTAGGGCGGGACAAGCTACAGCTACTCCTAACTCCATGCAGGACGCTGTCCCTACAACGGGCCACTGACTCACAGGGACAACACCATACTCCAGAAAAAAGCAACTTTCACGTTAGCTTTCTAGAAGGAAACATGAAAACTCCCACATGTGTACTTTTGAATTCGGAACAGGGTATGTAAAATGCTATTCACATCTAACATAACGCTAAGCCTCGGGAAGCATCTGCTGAATGAACCCAATTAGTACAAAGGATAAGAATCCTTCCTTCTGCATTGCAGACAGTGAAGGAAAACCCAAAGGGACAAAAGGTCCCGAAAGGCAACAAAAAGCAGGAGGAAGAGACACGAGATGGGGAAAGGAGAGAAGGGAGGAAAGGTGGAGAGACAGCCCAGGACCTTCGTACCAAGGACAATGGACTCCCATCCCTCAGCCTCCCTTCAGCCCTTTGGGCTGGGGGTCCCTTCTGTTAGCGGCTAAATTCAAACATTCCTATGTTGAAACCCTAACCCCAGGACCTCAGATTGTGCCATATTTGAAGACAGGGTCTTTAAAGATGTAATTAAGGTAAAATGAGGCCATTGGGATGGGCCCTAATCCAGTGTGACTGGTGTCCTTATAAAGAAGAGAAGATAAGGACACAGACACACACAGTGGGAAGACCACGTGAGGACACGGGGAAAAGATAGTCATCTACAAGCCAAGGAGAGAGAGGCCTCAGGAGACACCAGCCCTGCCAACACCTCGATTTCAGACTTCTAGCCTCCAGAACTGTGAGGAAGTACATTTCTGTTGTTCAAGCCTCTGTGGTATTTGTTATGGCAGCTTGAGCTGACTGATACACTCTCTAGTACTTCCCCACCCTCCCTGGAGGCAAAGGCTCCAGCAGGCACATCTGCTGAAGACTGTTCTAACCTCAGTCCTCCAACTAATATCTCAGACCCACTGATAGCATGGTAAGAATGCCACACCCCAGGCCGAGCAGGATGAAAGGGAAGGTCCATTCCCAGCAAGGTCCACCTCAGGTGAAGCAACCCTAACCCCTGCCCCAGACCTTCGCTATTTATGTGTACCCTAATCTCAGTGCCAAGGGTGGGGTGGACTGGCACTCACCATGTTGGAAGACAAGGCCAGAGTCGAGACTCGCCTCCCCTACTCTGTTCTGACCCATCTCCAAAAACAGCTGCCAGCTTTTAAGAGCTCACTATGCTATTCTCAGAATAACCCAGGAGGCAGATTATGACCCCAAGTTAACGGAAAGCAAAGGGGGACTGGAGAGGGTGAGCAGGCAGTCAGCATGGAGGGTGGTCTGCAGAGCCTGGATCAAGCCCAGCATGGTCTCTCCATCCCCTCCCACCTCAGCTCAATGAGTGAATACAGGGAGGGAGAGAGAACACAGAGATACAGCGAGAGACTCTCTGCAGGAACACTGGAATAAAGGACCTATTGTTATGCCTCTGCCTGCAATGACAGGCATTTATTGATCTCACCTTAATCAATATTTAACAGACAATTCTTCTGTAAAGAAAGACATGATCTGCTAGTGAAAACCAAACAGAACTTACCTGTCCAGGGCTTGCTCGGGCTCCGTCTGTTCGGCAGCTGCCTAGCTTGACTGGGAGGACCCAGATAAGAACCAGCTGCCAGTCACGGAGACACCACTCCCCAGAGCTCCCACCTCCAGCTCAGCATCGTGCTCAACTCCAAAGCTGAAAAGTCAAAGAGGCCGTCACTCAACAAGCTGAACTTGTACAAACGTGAATTTTATGCTCTGCACCCAGGACTAAAATTTTTAAAACAGACATAATGAATTTTATTTTCAAGGAGATAATTTAAAAGACTCTTTGAAGAATAGAACAAGAAAGAAGTCCACAAGAAGTAGGTTTCTAGTTATCATGTCAACTGACAGCAGGGACAAATGCTAGAGCCCAGAGGAGCAACGGGAAGTGGCCTTGGCCTCCCAGGTCACTGCCTGCAAGCCTGCCTTCACCTGAAGAGCAAGGGCCCCCAAGGCAGGCGGGGTATGGAATACACAGACCTTTGCCCTCTTGCACGGCCAAAGTTTACCTATAATTCATGCTTTGAGCCCAGGCTAAAGCCCACATCCTTCACAGGGTCCTCCCAGGCTGCAAACCTCACCCCACCCCCCAGGGACCTTCCTCCATCCGGAACCAGGGACCAGCCCCAAGGGCTGAGCACAGAATGATGTTCTTCACACGGTGCATGTGTGTTCCACGGGAGGCAGGCAGAAGCAGGCTGACCTGCAGTACAAATCCTGGCTATTTCATCTGATTCATTAATCCAACTCACATTTACTGAGGGCCCAAGCTGCTGTTCTAGGCATGGAGGAGAGGGTGGGGACCAACACAAATCCTTGTCCTGCTAGAGGTGACTTTGTAGTTAGCTGGGCAACTCCCTGGTGTTCCTGGACCCTGGCTCCTAGGCAGGGCAGTGGGGAAAAAGCCCACCGTCCTGAGGATTTTAATATATTGCACTGGAATGATACCGAATCTTCATATGTCTAAAGGAAACACACACAATGACTTAAGAGGGAGATCAGCACAGAGCAAGCGCTCAGTCGAGGAAAGTCTTTATCACTGTTGCTTTTACGTGTTTGAGCTGGTCTGCTGCCTGCGATGTGGGTGTCCTTGGGTGGAGAACAGATCACTCAATGAAGCAGTCATAAACTAACCTTTCCTGATCACCCAAAGGTGGAAGTAAAGCCTGCCACGCCTCTGACCTGACACGAAAGAAGTCATGGGCCTAGAACTCAGAAAACCAATGGATAGGGTCCCACTGGGCACTATGGCTAAGAATCAGGCACGAGAGCCAGAGAGCCTTGCTGTCTCCTGACGCCACCTCGTCTTAGTGGGTGACGTCTGGGCAAACTGCTGAACTCACCGAGCTTCAATGTCCCCAGCTCCAAAAGTAACATGAAAATAGTATCTCCCTTAAGGGTTTTTATGAGGATGAAATGAGCTAATGCATGTAAAGACTTAGGATGCACCATACAGTAAACGTTAAATACGAGTTACTAATATCTATGACACGTTAGATGCTAAACACATGAGCCACCTGCAAGCTGTAAAGCCTGCTGATGTTTAGACGGATGCTGATCTTTTTAGGATCAAGAGGGGAGATACATGATCCTGATGATTTGACTCCTCAAAACTGAACATCATCTGTATATGCAAAGGCATTTTATTAAGGGTACCTGCTTTCACCCTCTCAAAGAATTTGTAAGTCTAAAAAGTATTATAATGATTATGTCGAGTGGAATATCTCTAAATTCTAGTAGCTAAGTTGACCACAAGTTTAAAAAAAAAAGCTGAATGGTCAAACAAGTATGAAGGTCTTTGCAACGCTAACGGGCCAGATGTCGGGAATGGACTCAAGTCACATAACGACAGCACGGACCTGTGAATCACTTCTACTCCTCTTATGCTGAGAGGTTCCCCATCTTTTCCAGAGAACCTATTCTTTTCCTGGCTTCTGATCCAAATGCCCCAGGACTACTTCCAAATGCATCTTTTATGCATATGCCTTCAAATTTACAACACATGCTTGGGAAGTTTGCTTTTTATAATGAGCAAAATTAAACTATAATTAAAGAAAAATGACATATAGTTGTCAGTCAAGGTGGTCACCACTTCAACCATTTTTGTCTATTTTTTTTTGCAGGGAAGGATTTGTGCTGAGCTAACATCTGTTACCCATCTTCCTCTTTTTTTTTCCCCTCCCCAAAGCCCCCCAGGGCATGGTCATATATCTTAGTTGTTAAGTCTTTCTAGTTCTTCTGTGTGAGCCGCCACCACAGCATGGCAACTGACAGATGAATGGTATGGTTCTGCGACCGAGAAACGAACCTGGGCCACCAAAGCAGTGAGAGCGCCGAACTTTAACTACTAGGTCATCAGGGCTGGCTCGTTTTTGTCTGTTTTCAATAAAGTGGATACTGAACTTTACAGTAGACAAAACAAAGACAATATGATTTTTGAACATGATGAACTGAAAAGTTAGATACAGTACCTCCTCAATAACAGCAGAACCCATCAATAGACATGAGAGAGCGTGCTGCAAACAAACCTCCAGGCGTTGTTTACAATGGCCCCATCTGGCACCCACAGCTGGCACCACCAATACACCCGGCACAGACCAACACGCTTCTTGCACTGATCTGGCCACTGCCCTCACACCTACAGAGTAAATGGAATGCTCTCGGCACCATCCGCCCATCAGTCAAGATAGTGCTTCTCATGCAGTTTTATAGTCAGACACAAGGTAAACTTGAGATCTTCAAGAATATATGAACTTGGGTGAAAAATAAGTGTCTTAACTTACTTCCAAAATATTTCAGAAACAAAGGACCTCTTGATTTCTGTGTATCTTTGATATCTCCCCAAAATTCCTGAGTTAATATAAAGTTTTCCTTCTGTCTAGCTTTCTCACACTAAATATTTAGAGTAATAACAGTGAATATTTAGACACTCAACAAATCCCAACTTTAATGACGAGGATACTCAGCCTATTCAGCCAAACAGCTCTGGAATGAAGTCTAGGCCTTCTCAAAAGGGAACAGAATACCCTTAACTTAAAAAAATTAAATTCAACACTGTATTGATATCAGAGACCACTCTGTCTTCACAGAGCAAAAAGATGCTTATGAAGACAAATTTAGAAATATGTGAATGAAATGGAATTAAAAAAAAGGCAAAGTTTTAAAAAGTAATTATAAAATTTCAGAACGCAATTGCCAGAACCCATAGACAACTTAAAAGAGAATCGACAGTTAAAGCTGAAATGCCACACTTCACATTACTTTTATCAGGTGCTCCTGAAGAGAAGATCTGCCCTTCCGGCAATGCCATAGTCACTTTCCTGGTAGAGATGACAGAGCATGAAGACAAAGGAAGCTGGCAGCAGAAGGAAGTTAAAACATAGGAACATTCCCACCCAAACGCCAACACCATACCTTCAAACCACCAAACACACAGGAAACGTTCAGCAACAACTCAGCAGGGACCTTTTGGCCCAAGCCCAGGAAGGCCCCTCCCTCAGTGGTCTGCCCACTAGCAGGCACTCAGGACGGTGCCTGAGATAGGGGCACCACAGAGATGGTGAGCGTGGCCCGGCACAGAGTGCTCACATCCCAGAAAGAGCTTCCTAACTGGCAGCCATCACGGAAACCGACAAAACTCAACTAAAACGTATTAATGCGCCCAGATCCCACCTGGTTCTCAATTCCACGGTCAAGCAGAACCAACCATCCTACCAGTCCTCACCATGAGACTTCCAGAAGCCGCCAAGCAAGCTCAAAGATGGGTTATCCAAAGGAAACCTGTGGAAGGCCACACAGATCGGAAATGCAACAAGACTGAGGGACCACCTACTCAAATGAGGCAGAACACTTCTCTCTAAAACTAGTCTAAAGGCAGCAGAGCAGTGAGGGACAGGATAACCCCCTGCACAGACACAGTAACTGACCAGAAAACAGATGGAAATTTCCCCACTCTCTATAGCTGATATACACACATGCACAATTTAGCTCAGTACTAAGAAGAGCCCTATATAAATAAAAGAATATCACCACACTTCCTTGAGAGACATAAAAGACCTGGATGAATGGAAACATGCTAAGTTCCTAAATGGGAAGATTAAACATCAAAAAGATTTTGATTCCCTTAAAAGTCAGTAATTTAAAAATTAAAATTAGTTTTTGTAAATGAAATGCAGTATCAACCTCATTAAAACTGAAAAACTGACAAATTAAGTAAATAGTAAGACTGTCAATAGTAGAGCATTAAGCGAGAACTACTCTCATCACACAGTAAAATATTATAAAGAAAAGTAATTAAAATAGTGTGGTACCAGCACAGAAACACATGCCATTGTTCATCAGAAGAGCTGGGTTTACCAATCGAACGTATGTTCACTGCAGCACCGCGCTACACGAACTATCCTGAGAGCGCATCCATATCGTCAAGCTTCCACAACCTGGCTCACAGGACCCATGGGGCTGGAATCCCAGGGCTTCCCGCCTTTCCTGACTCTCACAATGATGCCACCCAAGATGAAGGTGACAACAGTGATGACTAGAGATGGCAATGATAGCCACCCTTGATTGACTGTCTATTATATGTCAGACATCTCACCAAATGCTCTTCATGTAAGAGGTTTTTGAAGATGAAGCTAAAAGGAGCAAATGCACAATGAGAAAATATAACACGCAAAGATCAGTGGTTCTTAATTAAGAACAATTAAATATTGTCAATTCTTTGAGGCAGAATTATTATGCCATTTTATGGATGAAGAAACCAAGACTCGGAGGCAATAAGTACCTGCCAGGGTCACACAGCTAATAAAGAGATTCGAGATTCAAACCAAGGGATGTTTGAAGTCAGCCCACCTACTTTATTATTTTGTTAATAAAATACCTTTGTATGATAAGAAAAGAGAATAGGAAACTTGCACTTACTTGTAAGGTTTCTCTTCACTTTTGTTCTTTCAATCACATTGTCTGGAGCAGATTTCACCATTTTCATTTACAGAAAAATATATCCAAAAGTAAAGGCCTGAAATTCAAAGCACAGAGGATAATGGGGGAAAAAAATTCCCTGCTTGCCAGTAATTAAGATGTTAGTGATGAGGCGTAAAATAAGGAACTCTCTTAACTCGATAAAAAGCATCTACCAGAAACTT